GAACCCTTTTGGAGCCCATCTCTGAGTTGAGCCAACAGGCCACATATAGGGACACAATGACATCTGGTTTCCCATCACATACCCACACCTGCTAACCAACACACAGCTTGAGGGTCTAATTTTAGACTCAACAGCTTTGACAGCTTTTTCTCTTAAGGCGGGGGCGGGGGTTGTCCATATGTCATCTTCTGGGTATAGTGGCCAGCCATCATTGTCACATTCCCTGGCAAAGGAGGGGGAAGAAATAATGTCCTTTCCTCGATGTCCTCCCATGATCACCCACTCATTTAGAATGTCTGTCTAAAATGCCTTCCTTAAATCCATGTCAAGAGCTAAGACAACATCCTAGAGTCTGGACCACAGCTTTCATCACATTATCCCCTGCTCAGAAACCTTCATGCGGCTGCTGACTGCTGAAAGAACAAGACCCTTCCTCCATAACTTGGGATCCAAGGCGCTCTACAGTTTGACATAACTCCACCCTTTACCCATGTCCATATTTCTAGCTCACCACTTTGCTCAAGGTGGCATCCATGATACCTGGACTCACGCCTTGGCTTGGCAACTTCCTCTCACTATGCATAAGTTATTTAACCTCAGCTTTAAAACACTGCTGGAGAAGGATCTGGTTTTGACCCAGATATGGTAGGTGTCAATAAAATATTGGTCTGATTATATCAAAAATCTAAAAAGAGTGTTTGGGAGAGGACAAGAATGTAAAAATTCAAAGGGGAAAAAAAGTATAATTGGTCAAACCTTTTTATAAAACAATCTGATAATATGTATCAAAATATAACCTTTGACCCAGAAATCCAACTTTGCTCCATGTACCTTAAAAGGTTATTGAATAACTACAAAAATACATAATAGGGATTTCATCACAGCATTATCTGTAATAGCAAAAAAATATTCTAAATGCCAATTAGGAATGAACTAAGAAAATTATGTAAATGAACAATATTTCTAGGTAATGAAAACTATTTTTTTCCCTGGAACTGTTTCATATATACATATATGAAACATATATATATGTATACATATATATGTATATTTCTTTTTTTTTTTAACCAAATAAGCCCACTGGCTTGCTTTATTTTTTTAAAGATTTTATTTATTTATTTGACAGAGAGAGACAGCAAGAGAGGGAACACAAGCAGAGGAAGTGGGAGAGGGAGGAGCAGGCTTCCTACTGAGCAGGGAGTCCGATGCAGGGCTCGATCCCAGGACCCTGGGATCATGACCTGAGCTGAAGGCAGGCGCTTAATGACTGAACCACCCAGGTGACCCTGATTAATATTTTTTATAAGACACATGTATTATATTTTCCAGAATCAAGGTACTGGAAAAATAACTTTTAAAAAAAGACACAAAGGGAAAAGGTACTGAAGGATGTTTTCCTTGGATCGTCAGGGCCAATTATCACTTTACATTTCACTGGTAAAGGTCCAGTGCAGACTAGCCAATAGCCCGGATCTCTGAGAAAACTGAGGCTAAAACAAGGTGGATGAAAGACTTTTGTGTTTTCTGTATAAAATTCAGACAATTCTGTCCTTTTACTACTTCCATGTACAAAACAAACACACAAAGACTCCCCTATACTCTGGCCACAGGTTTTATACTTAATCCCAAACACCCATGTTCTGTGTGAAGCTCCTGTCAAGGGAGAGGCTGAGGAAACACACCTAGTAGGTGGTTCCAGGCACACCCGCTCAGAGACTAATAAGCCGAGGCCTTCACACTCCTTCGGGTGAGCCTGGAGCATCTGAGAATTAGCACCACAGGACCAAAATCATGGGGAGCAGTAACAATCCATACAAGTGATGGGTCTCCAGAATGAATTTTAAATTCGGGGGTTTTAGTTATTTGAGCTTGAGAGTCTTACTATCTCCATTAAAATGACAGGTTAATAAAAGATTCAAATCATACAGAAAAATGAAAAACAGTACAGGATCTTCTAAAATCTGCGCTCACAGCAGTAATCACTTAATACTTGATACTCCTTATATTTTGCCTTTGTTTTTAAGCCTATCTCAAAAGGAATTATGATTTCTCACCCATTACTTTGGCAAAATTTTTTTCAAAGTATGTTAATAGGAACTGCTGGCTTAGGGAAACGAACTCTTTTAAGGTGTACAACTCAACAGTTCTGCTATACTTAGAATTGGGCAACCATCAATGGGAGTTCCAGAACATTTTCATCACACCAAAAAGAAACTCCACGTCCATTAGCAGTCGCTGCCCACTATGGCAACCACTAATGTTTCCCATTGCTATGGACATAGCAATTCTGCACATTTCAAGTAAGTTGACTCATAGGCTACGTGGCCTGTTTTAACTGGCTTCTTCCATACTGTTATCAAGCTTCCCCCACATTATAAAACCTGTCCTTCATTTTTTTTTTAAAGATTTTATTTATTTATTTGACAGACAGATCACAAGCAGGCAGAGAGGCAGGCAGAGAGAGAGGAGGAAGCAGGCCCCCTGCAGAGCAGAGAGCCCGATGTGGGGCTCGATCCCAGGACCCTGGGATCACGACCTGAGCCGAAGGCAGAGGCTTTAACCCACTGAGCCACCCAGGCACCCCCTGTCCTTCATTCTTATGACTGAATAATATTCCATTGATAAGTATACCACATTTGGTTACATATTCATGAGTAGACATTTTCACACTCTGCCTATCAGGAACAATGGTATTATAAATATTCCCGTACAAGTTTCTGTGTTTTCACAAAACACGTATGTTTTCAACGGAGTAGAAAAAGCTGGGTCCAGGGTAACTCTATGCTTAACTTTCTGAGGCCCTAAAAACCTGGTCTGCACAGCAGCTGTACCATTCACACTGCCATCAGTGGTGTGAGAGCCTTCCAATGGCTCCCCACCATTCCCCACACTTGTTACTGTATATCTTTTTGACTGCTCTCATCCCAGGCAGGTTTGTGGTATCTCGTCATGATTTTGATTTGCACTTCTGGATGTAGAATGATGCTAAGCATCTTTTCACATACTTACTGGCCATCTACACATCTTTTTTGGAGAAATATCTACTCAAATCTTTTGCTCATGTTTTAATGTGAATTTTTTTTAAATTCAAGTATAATTAACATGCAGTGTTGTATTAGTTTCAGTGTACAATACGATTCAATAAGTCTATACCCTATTCAGGGCTCATCAAAATAAGTGTACACTCTCACAAATTATGGAGAGATATATATATAATCAGATATACGGTTTACAAGCATTCTCATTCTCTGCATTGTCCTCTGACCTTCTTGAGAGTACCCCTGAAGCATAAGTTTTCAATTTTGATGAAAACAATTTCACCTATTTTGTCTTCGGTTGCTTGGGCTTTTGGTATCATATCTAAGAAATCACTACCTAATCCAAGTTCACAAAGATCTTCAGCTGTTTTCTCCTTAAAGTTTTATAGGTCTTAACTCTCATTTAGGTCTTTGATCCATCTTCAATTAATTTTGTATTTGGAATGAGGTAGGGCTCTAACTTTATTCTTCTGTTTGTAGATAACCAGTTATGACAGCACCGTTTGTTGAAAAGAATATTCTTTCTGCGGGGCACCTGAGTGGCTCAGTGGGTTAAAGCCTCTGCCTTTGGCTCAGGTCATGATCCCAGGGTCCTGGGATCGAGTCCCGCATCAGGCTCTCTGCTCAGCAGGGAGCCTACTTCCTCCTCTCTCTCTGCCTGCCTCTCTGCCTACTTGTGATCTCTGTCTGTCAAATAAATAAATAAATAAATAAATAAATAAATAAAATCTTTAAAAAAAAAAAAAAAAGAATATTCTTTCTTCATTGAATAGTCTTGGCATATAGCTTTTCAAAGTCTTCCATAAACGGAAGCTTGACAGTGGCAGTGTTTATACAACTATGTCAAAACTCATAAAACTGTACATTAAGAATAAATTTTGCTGCATGTAAATAATATACTCAATAAACCTAACAATTAAAACTTCTCCTTTAAAGAAACATTCACGTATTGCCTATGTAAGGATCCTATGCTTCACAAACACTATACTACTATTTCTAACACAGATAAACTGGAAACTGTCTGAATCGCTACCAAAAATAAGCTGAAGAGGGTCGCCTGGATGGCTCAGTTGGTTAAGTACCTGCCTTCCACTCAGGTCACGATCCTGGGGTCCTGGGATCGAGTCTCGCATCAGGCTCCCTGCACAGCGGGGAGTCAGCTTCTCCCTGTCCCTTCCCCAGTTTCTGCACTTGTGTGCGTACATGCTTTCTCTCTCTCTCAGATAAATAAAATCTTTAAAAAAAAAAAAAAGCTAACCAGATGTAGTATAATCATAGGGTTGAATACCACGAACAGTATAAAGGAATAAGCTAGGTTTTATATGTTAAATGGATAAAGTTCTATTAAGCAAAAAAATATAAGTACCCAATGACTGACACAGAATGAAAGCATATTATGTAAAAAGACACAAAACCAAGCTATACAGACTCTGTGAATACACATGTAAGTACCTAACTGTATCTCTTAAAAGTCTGGAAGAATCCTCAGCACACTGCTAACACTCACTGCCTCTCAAGAAAGCCAAAAGGCACCAAGACTGGACAGGGTGATCAGAACAGAGTTGAACTCTGTTATTTTTTTCCCCCAAAGGGAAATCTATTCATTAATTACTTTCAAGATTAAAAATTAATAATGTGGGGCGCCTGGGTGGCTCAGTTGGTTAAGAGTCCAGCTCTTGATTTCAGCTCAGCATCATGAGATTGAGCCCACATGCTGGACTAGCGCCTGCTTGAGATTCTTTCCCTCCTTTTCCTTTTGCCCCTCCCCCCACTTGCCCACATGCATGCGTGTGTGCATGATCTCTCTCTAAGATAAAAAGATTAATAATACGTACCTTATGTGAGTTGTAAACAGAGGTTAAGTATGGAATCATAGCTTTTTAATGTATGCAGTCATTCGTGCATCCCTGCATCCAACCTACACACACACACACACACACACACACACACAGCTGATCTTACCAATTTGGATTTTCCATACTTTCCCGGAAGACAGACTCTTCCTTCATGGATGCATATTGTGTCCACGTAAGGCAGTGACTCCGTATAGCCATGTTCCTTTCCTGAGGATTGAGCCAGGATTCCTCTTCCAATTGGATATTAGGGACCTTTAAAATGCTCACCTGTCCAACAGAGAGTGGAAGGCTCTCTCAACTGAGGAAGAGCAAGCCACCTAAAGACTAAGTCCAGAGTTGCTTTCAGTCTTGGGTAATTAAGAGGACAAGTGATGCTCATATGCAAACTGAGTCCTTGATAATCCAACACACCATGACCTTACTAAATGCTGGTGAGGACATGCAAATGGCCCAGGATTTATGCAGGCTGTACAGTCCATGGCCTCATTCCCCTAACTGCTAAACACTAAGCAAATTATCCACCTCCTTCGTATCTCCTCTAGGGCTGGTTATGGCCTTCTTAAATTGATGGATTCTAATTGGGCCCACTGATGGGCTCGCATGCAGCAGGACAATATCAGATAAAATATCTTCTTCATTTTAAACTGTCTGATACCTCGAAATGTATGGCTTCCAAGGTGGAGGAGACATGGGAAACTACAAAGGCAGCACTGTACAAGTCAGAGGTGTCCTTAAATTATTTAAGAACTGAGATACCAGACAAAGTTGAATGCCTTTTTAAATAATAGATTCAAAGCCTGTATATAGGGCAAAGGCAGGGTATACACCCTATGGAAAAAGCCAATGATAATTTGCTGCATACAGTGCAACACATTTTCCCATGTGGAAAATAAAATAAAGTTCTTTTTCCTTGTCACATCAGCTTTCTTTCCTTCAAAGAATGTGACAGTCTTAATGCATGACCAGGAAGTGACAGAAGCCACCGTTTTTTCTACAAACAGCAAACAGCACAGCAGTGTAATCTGCAAGCTAATGGGCTTCTCCATCACAAACAGAATCACCTCCAGGTTGAAACAACCACCAGAGACATCGTATGAAATGCACTTCAAGATGCTCTCGTCTTATTTCCTAATGATTCTAAAAGGACTCTTGTCAATAATCCCACTATGATTTAAGTAATGTTATTAAAAATTCCCACTTACCTTTGCCAACCATCACCAGAGTGCTTAAGAATTTCAAAGAGAGAAAACAATTTGCTATCATGAAGATTTCATCATCACCGCCATTATAGAAACACACACAAAAAGACTCACAGAAAACACTGAGAACATTATACTCCCTGAAATAACTTATTCTCTGATAGTGAAATAGAAACTGAAGCTTTTATCTTCCTTGCTAAAGATGAGACTAAATATTTACCATCTGCCCATTTCTGATCATTCTTATCTAAAAGTCATATTTAACCATGGACAGATGAGAAAAGCTGGTCACTTCACGCAAAATGTGCAAGGTATCTTTACAATAATTATAGGCCATCTCTGTGTCCACTAAGAGCCCTCCACCAAAGAGAAGCAGAAACAGACAGGGGAAAAAACTATCTCTGGTGGCATCTGCCAAAACTGAGGTGGATATGAGAGTGCTTTCTCCCTTTGAGGGCTATAAGGTACACCTGGGAAAGTTCTCAAACTCCTGTACATCAGAAAATGCTGTCTCTTTCCAGGACTATGTGAAAATCACCCAAATCTGATTAAATCTTAAAATGAATTTACCTTCCTTAAAATTTCTGGAACCACATTCTGACAGACTGCAATCCTCTTTCTATAGATGATCCCTGTTGACACATCTAGAAACAGAAAATTTTTACACTCAAAAAAATTTTTAAGGAAATGTATTCTTGTCCTTTGTCAATAAAACCTTTCATGTCGATGTCAATTTTCTATATGTAGAATTCCCAAAGAAAAATGTTTAACTCAAAATACGGGTGTTCCTGACCACTTTTCGGGGCCAAATCATTCCAAATACACTCATCTGTGATCAAAGAATAAGAGTAAGACAGCTAATTCACACTGCACATTCTGAAGTCAAGGATAAAGAATCACAAACCGTTCACTGCTATGGACTATCAATGTCAACCCTCCAATGACAAGGGCCAGTGAGCCTTTTGTTCAACTTCAACAAAGAGAATGTTTTAACAAAGAATGGAGAATCTGATTTTGCCACTTTCTACACCAACCATGTTTTCAAGAACAGGCTTCTGGCCACAAAATTTAAATCTGTAATTAATTATATGAGCCACACTCTTTACTCATAGGGAATCAGCTTCCCAGTGACTGGTACTACTCTGCTTTGGAACTTAGTTTCCAGAATAGCACCAATAAGGTAAAAAAACACAAAATAAATGTGAATTAAGAAAAAGGGAGACTGGTTCAGAGAAAAAAATAACCCTTGAGTGTTGTCTTTTGCCCTGTAAATTAATGTGACTCAGCCAAGCTCCTACAGGGTTTCTCAAAGCTCTGGCTAGAGTAGCCTTGAACACTGGTGCAAATACCCAGACTACCCAGAAGCCACTGCCAGGGTAAAAAGCGGGATCATCTCCTTGCCCGCTGGCATTCCTTAAGCCATCCCATCCAAGGTTTGCGGCACACATACTTAAAACAGATTAGCCACTCCTGCAGGCAAAGACGCCCCCATCAATGGTTGAAATTATAATTAATGTTCTTATATCACTTTGCAATGTGCACACTGTTCTCTCATTTGATCTTCACAGCAAACTAAAAGCAGGATTATTATTATTTTCCCATTTAATAAATGAAGAAACTGAGTCTTCAAGAAGTAAGGTTATGCAGGTAGTAATCAGGGCTTGAAATCAGATTTCTCTGATGCCAAATAACATATCCCTTCCACACTGACTGCAGATACATGGGGAAAAAAAGGTTTTTTTTAAGGATTTTTTAATTAGAATTAGATTTTTTAACTTAGAATTATGGACATGAAGAAAAGACCCTCAAAAGCAAAAGACAGCGTTGTGCTCACCAAGCACAGAGAAGACTTCAGACTCATGTAATGAACAGTGGCTTATTATATGTTCTCCCAGAAGGTCCAAGAGCATGTCAAAAGTGTGCCTGGGTGTCTCCAAAGGCTCATATACTGATTCTGTGCATCACTAAAGCTTCCTGCATGGCCCGGTTCTCAAGTCCAAGCAAGGACAGTGAAAACGCTTCCAATGAGATACGAATGACAGCAAGCAGTGAAAACTCCTACAGTCTCATTCGGGGGTGAGTAAACATCTCCTGTAGAGGGCCAGATGGTACATTTTTAGGTCTTGTGAGCCCGACAGTCTTATCACAACAGCTCAACTCTGCTGTTGTTGCAAGGAAGAAGCCATAGACGATATATAAACAAGTGGGCATGGTTATATGCCAATAAAACTTTATTCACAACATCAAGCAGGACAAGCATAGTTCATCAGCCCCTGCTCTGGTCAATATGGAACCACGCTGTCAAGTACAGTTCTGATTCCATAGTCTAATCACTTTATAGTCAATTTTACATACATGCTACTAATCACAACTGTTTTGCCATCTATAAAATGATACATGAATATACTATAGGGATACAGCCATGCGATCTTGGGCAATTTGTTTAACCTCTCCATACCTTGGTTTCTTCATATATTAAATGGGAGTAATAATAACACATACACCATACATTAGTCTGAAGATTAAATGAGTTAATATGAGTGAGACTGCTTGGCACATATGAAGTGCTCAGAAATGTTAGCTATTACTACTGTCATCAGTTATTAACTGAGAGACTGATAAGAGCATATTAAGCAAGCCTTCTGCTGCTGTAAGGGCTGGGTACTCTTTTCTAATACTTCAAATACAGAGATACACCTGTTTCAAAAGTAACAGGCTATACACACATATACAAACACCTCTACAAAAATCAGTTTCACTTAATGATCACCACCGAAGTGAGGTACATTCAGAAAACTTACCTCTTTTTTCCTCCACGGTTTTTACAGAGATGACATTTTTATCCATGGGGTTGGGATACTAAATGAAAACACATAAAGAAGAATTACCAAAGTGAGTTCTTTCCCAGCAACCATAGTTCTCTGCAGGAACAGTACATATTTCTCAAGCAACCTCGAAGGCCCGTTTTCAGTCAAGACTCATCACTTCACTACTTGGAACTAGATAAGGAAGAGGCTATCATCAACTGAACCGGTATAAACCCAAGAAAAACGTTCTTGAGATCCAACCTAGCTCTGGGCAGAGAAGGGAGGGAGAGCTTAACTAGGTTAATTACGGAACCAGAAAGGGAGGGTGTCCTCTGTGCCATGCCGTGCCACATAATCTATTTACTTAGACCATCTTGTTTAAATCCCAAAAGAGCCTCTCTGCTGTGACCAGGTCACGTGTTATCATTGTCTCATCTGTCAGAGATGGAAACTGAATGAAGATCTGAGAGTCTAGGATCACCCAGCTAGTCAGTGGGAGAGCCGTGAAATTAAACCAGGCCTAATACAAAGTGAATCTTCCCCTCGAATCGTATACCACTGCCTGGCAGCTGGGCTGCCATCACAGGAGAACAATTATAGAAGTTGTCTACTCCAGGTGCTCAATAAATCATTTACCTATTAATTCCCCTGAAAGACAATTTGGATATAACAAGGCTGAAAAAAAAAAAAAAAAAAAAAAAAGCTACCACTTTTGTCCTGGCCGTTTACATACATTATTTCAGTTTAATTCTCAAATTAATACCATGAGGTATATGCTGCTTTTTCCCTCTCACATGTGAAAAATAAGGCCCAGATAAACTAAGTAGTTGCTCAAAACCACCCAGCTCAAGAGCTCCGAGACTAATTTACCCTCAGATATTCTCTACTGCCTTCTAAGCATGCCTACCTACCCTATCCTTAAATCTCCTCAGAATTACTCAAATACAATCCTTTCTATTGCTCCAATACAAAGAAAAAGACTTCCAGAGTGGAAGTGACTTCCTCCAAGCCATAGGACAAGGTGGTCCCTGATCCGAGCCTGCTGATCACCCCTTGGGCCCTTTCTCTAGAAGCTCACACTGCTACATGATGTGACCAAACCTAAAAAGGAAATTACAGGCAGTCTCATCCAGGACATCACAAAGTGCTGAGGGAGAATGAAAGCAGTGAAGAGGGGACGCCTGGGTGGCTCAGTTGGTTGGACGACTGCCTTCGGCTCAGGTCATGATCCCGGGGTCCCGGGATCGAGTCCCACATCGGGCTCCCAGCTCCATGGGGAGTCTGCTTCTCCCTCTGACCTTCTCCTCGCTCATGCTCTCTCTCACTGTCTCTCTCTCAAATAAATAAATAAATAAAATCTTTAAAAAAAAAAAAAAAGAAAGAAAGCAGTGAAGAGGCTGACAGGCAGGGGAAGTCTTCGGAACCCCAGGAAGTGGTATACGTAACTCAGTGTGGGTCTCCTCATCTCACAGCAGCTACCTATACACGCACATGTGAGCATGTGTGTGAGAGAGAGAGAGAGGTTGGCTAACTGGTCTTCACAGAAAAGGGTCAACTACTTTCACACATATTAAAGGTATCTGTGGCCTCAAAAGACACTGAATGAGAACACAGGTTCTGTGAGAACCGGAATATGATCTAGTTCATTCACTCCTCTATCCCTACCACTAGCACAGAGTCTGGCACATAGTAGGCACTCAATAAAGTTTTGCTGAATGAATAATCAGGAAGATGAACCTCGCTGACCTCAGGGGTCAATTTGGAAAATAAACCTCACTTTGCTTGGGGACCTATCTATGAAGAGAATCCAGAGGGTCAGTCCCCAGCAGCCTTGACACTTCATTGTGCCCCATGCCATAAACTCTGCCATTCACACTTCCATCCTGGCAACTGCCATCTTGAGAACTTGTCACAAAGTGGATTCTTAAGTATTCATTCACTCATTCATTCATTCATTCATTCATTTTTTTGCTCCAGGAATAAATGCTCAAAACTACGATGACTGCTTTTTTGAAGTTTAACCTTCAAGTAACGTCCACTAGGGAGGGTCAGGTTTAGCTACTCTGCTTCTCGGCAAGGGGCCTGACAGAGCACTCCTGAAGCAAGGAAAATATGTAAGTCTTACACAGATCCCCTGAATTACGTGTGTGTTTGTGTGCATGAATAAAAACTTTCATACTAAGGTAAAATAAAAGTCTGAAAGTATTTCCTTCACAAGTCCTAGTTTGCTCATTTTGTATTCATCAATACTTCCTGACTGAATATTACAAATATACTATAAGTTGTAGGAAGATTACTGAACTAAATTACGGAAGAGATGTGAAATATAATCATCAGAAGAGGACAGTAATAAAAGCTTTAAAGTTCAGATTACTTCACTAAGTTATCAGTGAAATTCCTAAAGAATATAAACTCAGAAACTTCATACTTTTACATAATTTTAAGATTTCTTAGTAAGCCAAACAAAGGGCATTGACTGAAACAATAATGAAAATTCTCTTTCTTCAATTAGGAGGTTTTGAGTACCTACCACACCAGGCACGGTTCCAGGCACTGAGGATGTAGTAAAGAAACAAACAAAACTGTAGCCTCTTACAGAGTTTCCATGTTAGTTGGGGAAAACAAACAAAAAAATAAACATACCAGGAGAAAAATCCATCAGACTAAGGGACAATGGGGAAATGGGAAATTGTGGAGGGGTCACCCATTAGACAATGCTTATAAACAACAGGTGATCCTAAACAATTCACTTTAGTAAAATCATCTGCATGATTCAAGTCATTTTCTCACCCAACTACTTTGGGGAGTTGAACAGACACAGCCTCATGTTTCCACATGAGAACGGGAAAAGAAATGAGAGGTTTATTTACAACAGCTAAATACCATGATGTGAAAAGCATATATTCTAACTTTTTTAAAATTAAAGATTTATTGTGCTGAGGCTCCCCCTTCCTGGCATTACTTGAAATGATCTAACGCCATCTTGTGGTAACTTGAATATTCATGATTTAATTCATGAACCTTCTGAAGTCAGATAATAAGGGGTTGAAAGAGGGAAGGCTCTCAGAGAGGGTCATCACCAGGAATGCCAATTTGAGAAGACAGGGGGCGGTAGACAGTTTCTCTGGACACCTTTTTAAACATGGTGTGACAATGGAGTGGATCAAGCTAAGACCATCGAAGACTTGGTGAGCATCCGCTGATCTACTGCACTGGGTATCAGAGGCCATCTTGGGCATTATCTCATTTAGTACTTCCCCAAAGGAGTAAGCCCACTATTACTAAGACAAGGAGTTTGCACTAAAAGCAGAAATGGCGTAAAGCCTGCATACAAGCAGAGTCACAAAGATTTCCCAATCCCCACTCCTAACCAGCAACTCTCATAGAAGCAAAGTGGTCTAAACACCAGATATCTGCCAAAACTGCTTGCCACCCCAGGACCTGGCTCAGTGAGCCACAAACTGTAGCGGCATAACAATTACCACGTGGGGCCACGTACATTCGCCCTGTGTGCCATATATCCTGGGGGACCTCCAGTATTTTCCAAGATATATTTCACTTCATTTTGAACTTCCTTATGATCTTATTTCCTTTATAGAATGTATAAAAGAAATCCTTTATCTTTCCCCAAGATATAAATCTACTTCAAATATCACAGTCTAACAAGGGTAAAATGTAGACTTCTCTACAATGTCATATACTTTGCTTTCATTTCCTTTTACACATTGAAAGGTTAAGAGGCCCTAAACTGCAAAACACTGGATAAAAAAGAAAATCTACATTAAGACAAACAAAGAACTATGAAATGTGAGAGGCCAAGAAATTGAGTCCATCTAATTACAGGAATTAAGATACAATATATTTATGGCAGGAGCTTCCTGAAGATACAGTTATTCACCTTTCTTATTTACAAGGGGAAAATATACAAGCTTTCATAAAGCCTGTTCTTAAAGTAAGGAATTTTTAAAATGCCAACTTTCCAAAAAAAGCTCAGAAGTTAATGCCTGCCTTTTATAATAACACCTCCACAAAAAAAGAGTTAATGACCTCGGAAGGAACCATTGTTTCCCAACTTCCAAATGGCATCATTCAAGAAAGCACAAGGAAGCAACTAAGCTGACAGGTCTATATGATTAGTTGCACAAAGGTCAAGCGGACCTAAAATAAGTCTGTATATTAACATTTCTGTTTTATAAGCACCACGAGAAATCTTTGCTGCTTTCAGAAATGCATGTGCAAATGGGATGGAGCTGTTGAAGAGAGACCTGGCCTTGAGCTAAACAAAGAAATCACCATGAACTGCGCCAATTTATTTTTTTAAGATTTTATTCATTTGGGGTGCCTGGATGGCTCAATGGGTTAAAGCCTCTGCCTTCGGCTCAGGTCGTGATCCCAGGGCCCTGGGATCGAGCCCTGCATCGGGCTCTCTGCTCAGCTCTTTCTCTGCCTGCCTCTCTGCCTACTTGTGATCTCCGTCTATTAAATAAAGGAATAAAATCTTTAAAAGAAAAGAAGATTTTATTCCTTTATTCGACAGAGACAGAGATCATAAGAAGGAAGAGGCAGGCAGAGATAGAGGGAGGAAGCAGCCTCCCCGCTGAGCAGAGAGCCCGATGCGGGACTGGATCCCAGGACCCTGTGACCATGACCTGAGCCGAAGGCAGAGGCTTGACCCACTGAGCCACCCAGGTGCCCCAGAACTGCACCAAATTAATGAGCTACACGCAACGCTGTATCTTAGAGGAAAGCAAAGCTAATTTTATACCAAGATCAAATGAATCATTGATTAATCAAAATTTCAATGATCAAGGACAAAACATATTTAAGTCAATAAATTTTTGAATGGCTGTTTCTTGGCCTTTCAGATCAGCCGGAGAATGAAGTAGAAAGAGCAAAGGACAAGGAGCCAAGACGTACAGACAGTGATGCTGCCATCTGTGAAGCCAGGGATACCCAAGGCCTGTCTGGCTGAGAAAAGTTATGGTTCTAAACAAAGGCCGACGATGTCACATCACCATTATTCATTCAAAAACGTCCTGACAGGAACACCTC